CCCTCCTGCATCTGCGTCGTACCCTCCTCTAGTCACACTACTCTTCCAAGTTACTCGACTTTTGCCGTTACTTGCACTACCCCAGGTGAGTCCAGTTTCGTTTCTTTGTGGTGTTGAAGGCTTTTTGTTTTGTGTGCGTGTGGGTAATATTTTGGAAGTGTGACTGGCTTGTGAATGGCAACATGAAATTGTGGTGATTTACGATGATTTTGTTTGATGAGAAATGCTTATTTAAGTGGTGGTGGTGGTGTAGTAGTATTTGAATAATTGTGAAGCAGTAGTGTTTATAACTTTATTGGAGAAAGGTCTCATTTTAATAGTAACCTTGTATGATGTTTCTTAAATACACGTTCCATTTTGTTGGCCATTTGTTTCCAAGCATATCATGGCAAGACATGAAGTAAACAAGAAAAATTATTGGAATTTTGGATGTTATTTTAATTGCAAGTAATCATTAGCCTATTTTTGAATAAGACTCTTGATGGATGGAGATAATGTTACATCACTATCACTGATGATGACATCAGAGCAATGGGGGGGAGTGGCAGATAGCTAGAGAACAAATCATGTATACCATGTAGAAGGTTGGAGATAAGGAAGGAGTAGTAGAGGTATTAAAGTAGCAGCAAATGGTTTTGTAATTTACTGAGATTTATTATGACAAGGAATTTATTTGTGTACAAAGTTTAGTTATTTGATTTGTGTGTGTGTTTTGTGTGTGTGTGTGTGTGTGTGTGTGTGTGTGTGTGTGTGTGTGTGTGTGTGTGTGTGTGTGTGTGTGTGTGTGTGTGTGTGTGTGTGTGTGTGTGTGTAATTGGACATGTAAAAGTTGATGTGTCCAAGTTCTTGCATATGCATTTGCATGGGTACATAAGTGCAAATGTGTAGGTGTAGATCTATGTTTGTTAATGCAGACCATAAAAAAATCTTATCAAGCATAATTTGGTATACTAATTAAATTTGCTTGAATATTATTGTTATAGAAGTAAATTTACAGAATGTTTGTAGAACTAAGTACTAGTATTTGTGTTTGGTTGCTGTCACTAGTTATCTTAGATTGTAACAGCTTGTGAAAGAGAAGTGGCCCTGATTTTTGGAGAGAGTAGAAAGGTTAGCAGTTAGCAAATTATCTTAGAGAGGAATACGGCACAAAGTGAGGTCAGTTTCCTTGTTTAACTTCAGGGAAATGGATAGTTATTGGTCACAGTAAGATTATTTTTATTCCACATATTTGTTTGGGAAAATGGAGGAATAATAAGGGAATATGATATGATTGAAGAAATGAAACCCATAGAAGATGAATTCAAAGTTATTAGGGTTGTGTCACTGATTATCATCATGGTAAATGTGTCTTGTTTAATCTACAAATTATTGATCAGAATAATGGTGGTTATGGTGCTTGATAGTGTTATAGCTGTCATTTCCAGTTCTGTTACCATCATGTTATAGGTTTACCATTGTGAAGTAACTATTACCATCACCTTCTTAAAAATTTGGTCTTCTTTCTTTGATATTGTTTCATCCTCTTCATCTGAATGAGGTTGAATTTTCATTTCATGCCTTTGTCGTACTTTTTATTGAATCCATATCATCCTTTACTTTTATAGGTGTGACATATATGTTCCCTATGTACATTGACATTTTCTATGAATATTTTGTAATACTCATAAACTCTATTCACTTTTTAGACTACACACATAAATTGAATATACTGAACAACCAAGATAGTATAAAACTGTACTTAGAATTAGTGCCTGTCATGTCAGGCTATTTCTTAGTTTGGTCAAAGTGCATGATATAGTTAGTTGAGAGATGGTAATTTACATAAATATATAAATATTACATAAATATGATAAATATTCTCATGTAATGGCTTAATTAAGAGTTAAAGTTTGTTGGATGTTTGTGCATAGGCATAAAATTTTTGGTTTAGGGGAATTTAATAAATTAGATAATTATTTTTGCATTTTGGAAAAGGTTATTATGTTGGAGTAAATTAAAAGTATATTACAGAATCACATGAGTGTCAGAAAAGCAAGGCAATTTAATTTAATGATTTAATTATTCTTATTTTTATGACAAAAAGATTGATATGCATTCATTTTTAGCATTGTTGTTATTGTTTATGAAATTAATATTCTTACTTTTAATCTTTTTTTACAGGCATTATTTAACCTCTTGGGCTTGATTTGTTTCAATGCCTTCCCCGAGCGCTCAAAGCTTAAGGGTTCGCCTCTTTTGGCACCGTTTCTGTGCCTGAGAGTTGTGACCCGGGGAGATTACCCAGACCTGGTCAGGCAGAATGTCAACCGCAACCTGACGACATGCCTGCGCGTCGGCCTGGAGAAGTTTATGATTGAAGTCGTAACAGACAAGACGATAGATCTACCTGAAAATCAGAGAATTAGACAGGTGAGTTCTGTTGTCTTTGCAGCTTTTGGTGGGAGGGAAGGACAGGGTGTGTTAGAGAGAGAATTCAGATGGGTTAAGAGATTGAATGGAAGAGATGGGATGAGTGGTTGTGCAGAAAGTTCATTTGTGAGAGTTGTTAAGGGTCTCTGTAGAAATGATTTGTAGTGATAATATGTAAAATAGCACCAAAAAAGTGGTGGTATGAAGTTTACACTAAAATGGGATGAATTTAACATATTTTTTCCTGTATTTCAGGTTGTTGTACCTTCTAGCTATCGTCCAAAGAGTGGAGCATTGTTTAAAGCCCGAGCTCTTCAGTACTGCTTAGAAGAGGATGTTAATGTCCTAGCAGATACTGACTGGATAGTTCACCTCGATGAGGAGACTCTAGTTACAGATGCTGCTATTAGGGGTATTCTCAACTTTGTTATTGAGGGCCGACATCAGTTTGGTCAGGTATGCTTTGTATAAAGAGTTATTTTTATAATGAACAATTTATCTGAATATTTCTTAGATGTAAATACTGAGTTTTAAGTTCATCATTATTACATCAACATTTTTAAAAACATTTGTTAAGAAACTAAAGCTGGTATTTCTCCTACAGGGCTTAATAACTTATGCAAATGAGAACATTCAGAACTGGTTCACAACTTTGGCTGACAGCTTTCGTGTGTCAGATGATATGGGCAAGTTGCGGTTCCAGTTCAAAGTGTTTCATAAACCACTTTTTGGATGGAAGGGATCTTATGTTGTTACTCAGGTGAGCTGCATTCTGTTTACATCAGATTTCCTTGTCCTTTGTCAACATTATGGTAATATGTGGGAGATAACATTTGATGAGGTGATTGGGCTCTGTTTCACTGCTATGCCCACTCACCAGAGGCCACTCCCCTTTGTCATTTGAAAAATTGTTAGTGCACTGCCATCAAGGGATTATCACAAGGGATTTAAGTTCTTAGTTATATGACTCCAGATTCCATAGGCTGCCTTTGTTGTACAAGAGAAAGCTAAAAAGCTAAAAGTAAGAATAAAGGGGAGGTCATCATTCGAATTTCAAATGCAATCTACCTTCACTGTGATGGATTAAGAAGGATGAAACCCTGCTTATATATGTAAATAAGAATGGGGGAATCCATTAAGTCTCTTCCTACCTGCATTGATTGTTCCCTCTCTGCGATTCCCTCACTCAACTTTGGGACAAAATAGTAATGAAGCAGTAATGAAAGAGCTGATGATGTAGGAGGTTGTGCCTTGCTTTTTTGCTGTGATGTACAACTCAAGCAGAACTATGGCACTATCACAGGAATTCCACTACTGCTAAGTGTATATACTGTAAAACATTGATGAATACAACTATTGAAATCATATAAGTACAAATATATATATGTACAAGATTCTAGAACATAGTAGACAAAAGGTCTTTGTCTGACTCTTGGCTACCATTCTCATTATGAATGAGAAAATGGGTTGAGGCCCATTCTGTGGTGTGAGCAGGCAGCAGTAGGTCAAACAGTGGTGGAAGCAATGATATTAGCATCAGTAAGAGTAACCAAATACCAGTATAGTGATATATTATATTATATTATATATTATATTATATTATATTATATTATATTATATTATATTATATTATATTATATTATATTATATTATATTATATTATATTATATTATATTATATTATATTATATTATATTATATTATATATTATATTATATTATATATTATATATTATATATTATATATTATATATTATATATTATATATTATATTATATTATATTATATTATATTATATTATATTATATTATATTATATTATATTATATTATATTATATTATATTATATTATATTATATTATATTATATTATATTATATTATATTATATTATATTATATTATATTATATATGTATGTATGTATGTATGTATGTATATATGTATAATTTTTTCTCTTTGTTTCTCAGAATATAAACATTGTTAAACGTATATTCTAGTGAAGAGATATTATCACATAAATGATGCAGGGATATAAACCATATTTGCCATTTTACATCCAATTATATTGTGCGGCACTAAGATGAGGTGACAACTACCCAGATAACCTCATGGCATATGCTTCTATGTCAGTCTGACCTGACCTTCCCTCTCCCCCTCCAGACTGGTGCAGAAAGACGTGTGACCTTCGACCATGGTCCGGATGGAAGCGTGGCTGAGGACAATTATTTCGGAATGGTGGCCTTCAAAGAAGGCTACTCCTTCGACTTTATTGAGGGGGAGATGTGGGAAAAGTCTCCGTTCACCATTTACGACTTTTTGCAGCAACGCAAGAGATGGCTACAAGGGATCCTCTTAGTGGTCCACAGCCCCCATATCCCTGTGAGTTTCATTTGGTCTTTGTTCTCTCTGTTGTTTGTATGTTTTGGTTTTCATTGGTCTCTCCACTCTCTTTTTTCTTTTTGTTATGCTTTGACTCCTTATCTCTTCCGTTCTATTCTGTTTGATTTTTCTCCAATTTTTTTTTTTCCTTTTCTTCTTCCATCATCACCATTTTCTCTTTCATTTCTATATCCATCCTTTATTGACTGTAAAAGGCAAAAAGTAATATAAGATAAATTGAATCAAGCAATATTTATAAAATGTTGGTCCTGAAAAATTGCTTTTCACCTTGAACATACTATCAAACCAGTTTTATATATATATATATGTATGTATGTATGTATGTATGTATGTATGTGTATGAATATGTATGTATATGAATATGTATGTATATATATCTATGTATATGTATGTATATATGTATGTGTATATATACATATGTATATGTTTATATATGTATGTATATATGTATGTGTATATATACATATGTATATGTTTATATATGTATGTATATATGTATGTATGTATGTATGTATATATACATGTGTATATATACACATGTAGACATGTATATACATATGTATATGTTTATATATGTATGTATATATACATGTGTATATATACATATGTATATGTTTATATATGTATGTATATATACATGTGTATATATACACATGTAGACATGTATATACATATGTATATGTTTATATATGTATGTATGTATGTATGTATGTATATATACATGTGTATATATACACATGTAGACATGTATATACATATGTATATGTTTATATATGTATGTATATATGTATATATGTATATATGTATATATGTATATATGTATGTGTATATATACACATGTAGACATGTATATACATATGTATATGTTTATATATGTATGGTATGTATGTATGTATGTATGTATGTATGTATGTATGTATGTATGTATGTACGTATGTATGTCTGTATGTATGTACGTACGTATGTATGTATGTATGTATGTATTTATGTATGTATGTGTATATATACATATGTATATGTTTATATATGTATGTATATATGTATGTGTATATATACATATGTATATGTTTATATATGTATGTATATATACATGTGTATATATACACATGTAGACATGTATATACATATGTATATGTTGTTTTTGTTTGTTTGTTAGTTTTTTAAGAATATAAATTTACAAGATGCAGTTGCCACAATACACGGTGTTGATAATTTTTCCCTTTACATCCCTTCCAACAGATTAGCACAAAGTGGTTGTTAGCTGTCTCCCTCTACTCTTGGGTCACCATGCCACTGGCCTTGTCATCGGTCGTTTTAAGCACCATCTTCCCTGTGCCTGTGCCTGGCCTCCTCAACTTGGTTGCAGCATTTGTAGGGGGTGTCAACTTTTATATGTACATATTTGGTGTGATCAAGTCGTTCCGTGTGGACCGCGTTGGGTGGATGAGGATGGCCATGTGCATGATAGGGGCCCTCATTACCATGCCCTTCAACTTCCTCGTGGAGAACATTGCTGTGCTGCGTGGACTGGTGGGCAATAAGCACAAATTCTACATTGTCAATAAGTTAACAGGTGCTCCGGACAATGGAGTGAACATAGTTTAAGCCATGAGGAGCAGCCTGGCCTAGTCATGTCTACACTGTTCTCCCACCTGCTGCTGACCACTGCCACTGCCCGCTGAGGAGTGTATTCGCTGTTTGCCTACGCATATTGACGCTGCTAGTTCGGTCACCAATTGGTGCTCATGGCAAAGAAAGGCATTACAAATGTCTATTACAAAATGTTCCAAAAATTGAATAATCAAACTCTGTATTGAAGATTTCTTACATCAAAGCTTTACATTGGTTTTTGGCTTGGTTATTGTGCTTTTTAATGTGGATATATATACACATCATCTTACAAAAATAGGATGTACCTAGTGCTTTATAAAATCATTCAGAAATGGGTAGAATGCTTTACCAATGCATTATCATACTCCTGCTGCAGTAATTACCATGGTAAATAAATTATTGCTCTGTATGGAATAGAATCTTCTACAGACATTTGCATCATTACAGTTGTTAATGGGTTGACCCTTTGGAAGTGGTTTTTACCAAAGACAATAGAAACACAGCAGTTGAGCCAGCATGTTTAGGGTGCTGCAAAATTTCTCAAATTTTACAGGCTTGTCACATGACCTTATCTCAACTTCATGTAGCAGCTTTAGACAGTCTGGGCTGGATTGAATACAGAGCAGTAGGCTTCGATCAGAGGGTCTTTAGCAGGCACAAATCAAAATTTAGGTGTATGGCCAACGTCGTAAGGCCTTGCTTACCTGTTGATTCTCACCTTGTTCCAGCTGGGGGTAACACAGCCAGTTTAAATCAACTTAACTTCAGTAAAAAGATCCAGACAAATATGGATGAGTGCTTTGTGGTGTATATTAGCTTGTGAATATGATGATAGTGAAACAGGTGCTATAAGCATCCCCATTCTTGTGATACACATTCACTGCCAGTGGAAAACAAGCAAGCAGATATTTAGACCTGTAATATCCAGTGCCAGGGCGTTGCATTCAGGATTTCCCTGAACTTGCCGTAATTAATTTCTTTTCCTTAAAAATGTGGAAACCAATGTTCTTGATGTCATTTGATATACAATATTTATTTATTTATTTATTTATTATTATTATTATTTTTTTTTTTTTGATAATTTTCGTTTCAGTCAGGAGCCAGTTTGAAAGTTGCATTTTGATGATTGCTCAGAAGACAGCAGACTTGGAATATGTCACGATAAACTAATGTCAATGTTTGAAAGACCAGCATGATGGGTGTTACTTAAACAAAACAAATACAACCAAAAAATAAAAAATATACATAAAATAAAAAAAATGTTTCCAGAAATCATCATTAAAAAGTTTCAGTACAACAAAGCTCTCTCAGAGCACATTCTGTGGTTTAGCTTACAGGATGAACATTTAGGTGCCTCGTTGGCCATAATGTTTACCATTAGCGCTGCACGTGTAAGTGAAAGTAATTCTTTGTGTTAGTGGATGCATCTCATAGAGTAGACATATCTTTGTTCCTTTGGTTGTGATGTTGTATTTTATTTGTTAGAAAAACTCACTGTGTTATTGTATATATTATATGTTTAACTCTTCCGAAGTGCGTTGGAAGATTTGGTCTTAACCAAAGACTTAAGAACACTAGTTTTTTGTGGGCGTGATATTGCCCTTATTTTGGTAAATTGAAAGCGATGTTATTTAGTGTAGCCAGATGTACCTCACCATGTTAAGAGCCAATAAAATGTGTGTTAAAGCTGAATTTATGTTATAAAAATGGCAGCCTGTTTAAGGGCAGAAAGTATTGTCAATGTCTGGCTGTAACATCATCTGTGAAATCATGCCATAAGGGTAAAGCAGATGGATTTCTATCTCAGAATCACCTGGACACAAAGTAATTACTATAATTTAATAAGTAAAAACTGTTACAATGAAACCATAATGTAGCATAAGGCAGCTGCCACAAATGCAAAAGGAAGAGAAATCATTCTAGAGTGATGTTTTTTCCAGTTCATGATAAAATAGTTAAGGGTGTTCAAGGGATTTGTTCCTGGAGAACACAAACCGTGGGAATGAACAACCAAATGAGGGTTTGACAGGCCTCAGGACCACTCAGAGTTATCCTTGAGAATGGACCAGAAGTTGGCGAAGTGGAGCTGCAACTCGAGTTTTGTGAGGAATGTGTAATTTAACTGTGTACTCAGGAGGTTAGATTATACATTTCCAAAATAGCTGTTTTAACTCAAAGTGTCATAAGTTATGCTGTCATTTGTGTGTTCTATGATTCTGATGTGTGTGTTGAAGTGATGTTTGTTTCTTGCACAATGGTAGTTGATATTTATAATGGTTCAGTTAGAGCACAACTTGTAAATATTTCCAATGTGACTTTCTTACTTGTATTTGATTTGTAAACAAATGCTTTTCTTAGAGGTTGGTGCATTTACAGTAAGGGTAGTGATGATGCTGTGCATCACTTTTTATTTATTCAAATGTTAATAGTGTTGATTCTTTATTTTTTTTATCATGATTTTTTTCTATGGGAGTTTTCAGCTGAAAGTCCTGAGTGTGATAAAGTTAGCATTAAATGACAGTTTTTTTTTTTCTTTTCATTTTCACTTGCAACAGTTTTATTTCCTGAAACAGGCATAAAATCTCCCTCTGATTCACTTGCACAAAGGAAGGGATCTTATTGGTCCTTAGATTGGCGTATGATGCATCTGATAGGCCTGACTGAGATTTTTGAGAAGCTTCATCTATATTTTGTATATATGAGTGTCACACAAATCCCCCCCCCCCCCCCCCCCCCCCCAAGAAAAAAAGGAAAAGAAAAGAGTGAAATTTAAAAAGCAAGAACATGGATATTAACTTTTTGAACCACTGCTTTTAAAGAGATTTTTGCCAGTTACTGATTTTTTATTTTTTATTTTTTGTACAATACGTCCCCACTGAAATTTTTAGCGGATTTGATTTCAAAAAATGATTTTGTTTTCTGAAAGAGGAAATTCATCTGTGTTTCAATTGTGAATAACAGTCAAACAAAATTTATATTTAAAAAATGGCAGTATTCATAAAAAGTTAGAAACTTAAAAGAGGGTTCATTTGTATTCATTTCCCACAAATGCAAAATTTTCAGTTTTAGCTAACTATAACATGTAAGAAGGAAGAGAAAGTTGTGTGTCAGTCTAGCCTAATCACATAAATCTTGTGTATTTGTGCATGTTTTGTAACTCTTAAAATCTGGTTTGTTCATGTTGAACAGCTTAGGGTAAATGGCATTATAGTATGGTCTGTGTGTGTGTGTTAGAGCTGTGTATGATCTCATGTTCCATCTATTGGTTCACTCTATTGACTTGTAGTAAAATTCTTTGATCTACATTCTTGTATGCTCAAGTACTTGTCTCAGTGCTTTTTACTGTTAGGTAATTCGGAACAGTGATATTGCATTTGTTTATTTATTTTGTTATTCGTTGGAGTCATGATAATGATGGTGGTTATATTGGTAAATGTAGTAATGATAATGAGAATAATTAAAATATTATAAAAAAAATATATAATTAAAGATGATTATAATGATAACCATCATACTAAGGGATTAGATTACAGCAGAATTATCTAGGATGCTGATTTACAAGGTTCCAGTTCGATTTGGCGCCATTTCCAGTGCATAGCTGATGGTTGCTTTGTGGCTCCTTGTGAATTATGAAATTATTATTGTTGTTATTGCTGTTGTTGTTATTGTTATTATTTATTATTATTATTATTATTATTATTATTATTATTATTATTATTATTATTATTATTATTATTATTAATATTATTATTATTATTATTATCATTATTATTAATGTAATCACTATAATTTTTCTGTCATTTAAATTTTATGAAATTTGCTTACTTCTGCTGGTCACATGCATGAGCTGGTGTAGATGATTGTGTAATAGAAGTGACACAAACACTTACTTGATTACAAGTGAAAGGAGTAAGAGACAGTAAGAACAATGAATTGAATGAAGTATTAAAGTGCTTGTTTCAGTTCAAGTAAATAACACTAACAGGTACACACACAATTGAGCCATTATTACTGTGCATATATGTTTGCATTGAACTGTAACACTGAATAGTTTAGTAATGATTACAGTCACTGCTTCTCTATGTCTATGAATGTGTATTTTATTTCTTTCTTGACCATGTATACTGAAAGTGTATTTTGATGAACTCTGTACCTGTCCAGAATAGGGGAAAACAGCAGCAACGACAAGAAAAGACACAGGCTTGACAATGACAAGGATGTCTTACTTTTTCTTTTTGAAAACATTTTTTCTCCTTTTCCTTTTGTGTGAACTTTAGGTCAACTCTTGGGTCACAGAGGAGATAGAACACAGTAACTTATTTTTTCTATGAAGGAGTAAACATGTGTAATGGATGATCTCTCTTATTTTTTTTTTCTTTTCTTTTGAAAAGTAATTAATTTATTAAGAACTGCAGAGCTGCCTATAACTAATTTATAGGATTTGCTGTCTTCAGGAAGCTGGTTGATAATAAAATATTGAAGAAAGTTGTTTTTGATTTACTACATCATTTATTAAAACTACATCTAACATTATTTAGTATAAACAACAACAGTAGTGATACGTAACTGAGATGTCATGCATGGTATGGGATCTACAATAAGTTGATCAACAAAGTACTTATACTTGGTTAATTCTCTTTAACCTTGTTTTCAAATGAACAGTATCTTCACATATCAGATTGGAGGTTATTCTTGATTTCACTGATGTCACTTTTAATTAATAAAGTTGCATTTTCATTTGAATAGTTGTAAGTACATTCTAATTCCAATTTTGCAGTCACTAGTCATACTTCAATTAGGTTTGACTAGCACCTCCATTTTTCCCAGAAATGTATCCAGTGCTAATAATGGGAATTGAAAAAAGTGTCAGTGTTGTATAGTTCACTGGTAAAGGGTTGGCTAGTACTGGCATGCTGACATTAGAAAGCTGAGGGCAGAGTTGGGGTAGAAAGGAACTGTGGACCCTACTGTATTGTCCCATGGCCTAGCACTTGTATCCCTCTGCAAACATGCATCCAATGTCTGCTTGAATATGGGACCAATAGACTTTTTTGTCAATGTATTTGGGCAATAATCCTTTCACCTCCCAATCTCTTGCTTGTCGTTGCCTTGTGTGTGGGCTTAGGTGGCAGAGACTGAGGCCCAATGTAGGGTTTGCCCCTCCCTTGGACCTCATTCTTTGCATCAACTAATTTTGCAGGGTCTTTTCTTCTCCCTCTTTCCTTTTCCTTCTCTCTCTCATTCCCTTCTGTCCACTTATCCAAATCGTTTACTCATATTTACCCTTTTTGCCACAAAAACTTTACCATAATGCTGAGTGACCTTTGATGTTGAGTACATTTGTTTGTTTTGATCATTGCCTTACTGAATCAAAAAACTTTCTTGCCTGGGATCTTTGCCCCTAAGACCCTCCCTATTGCTATATTTTGTATACGCAGCTAATGACGTGGCAGAATAATAAATAAATAAATTCAGTAAATTAATAATTAATGCTTGTCACCGGTATTGCATATAAAAAGGAGCTGGAATAACTTCCAACAGTAACTGGATATTAATTCCCTTGTATTCAAACTAAGAATCAAGTCTATATGAAAGGGAGATATATCCTAAATTTATATACAATTTTAAGTACTTGTATGTTCCTTACATTTTCAAACTTGTGAGACCATTTTACATATGAATAAATACATTGCTATAACAAAAATTTTTAACATCCATTTCTGTAGGCATCCCCCCCAATCCCTTGCTCGTTGTTGTGTGGGGGCTTAGGATTGATGATTGATTGCAATTTGCGAAGTTCTAGCTTCGCCCGGGCCTTCTGGCTATGGCTTAGGAGAGGGGGACTGAGGCCTAGTGTAGGGGATCCCCCCTGCCCTGGACCTCAGCCCTTCTCTCAACTAATTTTCTTTCTCTTCTTCATCCCCTATTTTTGTCCACTTATGTTAATTGTTAACTCATTTTTCCCTTTTCGTCACAATACTTTATCATAATGTTTTATAACCTCTGATGTCTGGCACATTTCTTTGTTTTGACTATTAACCATTCTGGAAACCCACAAACAATGATTTTCAATTAATAAGTAAATACTGAAGGCACAAATTAATAGTATATTCCATAGTGTACTTTTGGTGAAATCAATTAAAGTCTTTTTTCTTCAGTCATCAAAAATACAGGGTTTCTTTTTTTTTTTTTAATTCATGCAACCTTTTTTCACACTCTTGATGGGGAACTTAAATAATTGCTTCTGATCTAAGATGTTACAAAACAAAGCATATTCTTTTCACTTGAATTCAGTATATGCTTAAAAAATGAAATGTATTATTATCCCTATTTTGCACCTTAACCATTTAGTAGACTAGGAGATCAGAGGTCTCCTTTCCGCTGTCAAAAACTTTTGCTACACTTTCATACGACTCAGCCTTAGTCAGGCCAGTAATCGAATACCCGCCGTTCCCACTAAATGCCATTCCCCATTCAATACTAGCACTGCAGGCCATACAAAACATAGCATTACTGTGGATCAAAGGGGTTAAAAGGCCCAACCCTTGTCCCTCTATAAGAATACTTGATCAACAATATAACCTGTTATAACCTGGAACCACTGAACACAAGACTACACAGACTGGCATATATGTATGCATATATACGTCTATCTATCTGTCTGTCTGTCTATCTATCTATGCATAAAGCTTTACTATCAAAATGCTTTCATGTTAATAAGGCCATGGCCAAGATGAGGTTTATCTTTTTGTTGCCTACGCTTTTAATTAACACATTTCAATATGCACAGGCAACAAATAGTCATTATTGTTTTTATCATATGATTTATGCTTTAGCCTCCCAAAGTATTCCATGACGAATGAGATATGGGGAAGTATATCAGACAGATTTATGTTTTGTTAAGAGAACGTGTTTGAAGAGAATATTACGAAAATTTTGTATAAAGTTCTACATAATCAGTTTACTTCTTGTGTACGTATAATCGAATATGAAGGCGTAAACTCGCATATCGTTTTCAATGAAACCAATGTAATTTCATAAAAAGTAACATATTCAGAACATTTACAGGAGTAAGATTTTCGAAACTGATGTGGATAGATGAAGGAAAAGTATTATGGGAGGCGCTTAGGGCCTGATTTCAGTAGTTCTCCATCGTTTTATTCGTAATATTAAAATGTTGATAACTAAGAATTTGTATATACTGCTATTTCCTAATGTAATATCAGTAAAATAGTGATTGATAATCTAATATAATTCTAATATAATTGATTTTGAGTTGAAAAATAATCATTGGTGGTCGCTAGCAATGGCTTCTCTCATACTAAGACATTTTTATCTTGTCCATATCCGTATTAAAACTCTCCCTCCCCAAAATATAAATGAAAAAGTTAGTTTACCCTTCATCGTAGAGTTCTCGTTTTCTGTGGTCCTTGTCATATTTACCGGTAACTCGTATAGTTTTTTATTATAATTTTTCCTTAGGTGATAGTGATGAAAAAGCTTTTTTTTTTTTTGCCTTGTGTTTTGATTTGTTTTTCTTTGAGGCAAATACTGCAAAAAGTGAGAGTTTTTTTATATTCCTGTAGCGAGATGTTACTAAGAAAATTTCACAACGGAGCAAGTTTTGTTAGGAACGATTGGCATAATAAACAGGCAAAGTCGCTGGATGAGGCTTGGGTACACCTAAGTGAATTTTAGACAAGAGGGCAATACGACTCTCAGGTAGAGGCCCTGCTTTGATATCAAATTCATCAAACAGTGCAGTTTGAGAGAAGATGGCTCGAAACTGGTGTTTATTTGTATGACAAAGCTAGCCATGGTAGGGTTATATACAGTAGCTAACTCTGCCTGAAACTTTAGAAAGCTGAAGCTGGAGTAACTTCTACAGTTTAAGTTACCCCTGTAAAAAATAACATGAAGAAATACCCCAGCTCATGTTATCAGAAATGAACCTGCCAGCAGTCTTTAAGCGAAGTGAAGATGAAAAAAGAGAATCAAACACACATATATCGATCCTTTCACATCCGTTTACAATTTCAAGAAGGAACACAGATTTTCCACCCGAGGCCTAAAAACAATATCGGTAAAAACAACAAAATGGAGCTGTCCATAAACAGTAACTTGGACAAGATGTAGTACGTTTCTTTCATCTGATTTACTCTACCGTGCCTGAGAGAAACTTTATTATCAGTGTAAGGTCTCACTAGACCCACATTTGTTAACAAGGCATGAAGAAGCAGGAGCGAGGGTTGGGGGTGCTCAATGAAACAGGTGGTGAGCTGGCAGTGCCACGCAGTGGCCTTTATTTTTCAGTGGTTACACACAAATATATTTTTTATGGAAAATAAGTACTTCTCTATTCTAGTTTTTAATGATATATAGATTATGCAATTTTGTTCTAGAGCACATATAGAAAACTTACTATTTATTTATCAAGAAAATATGGATATTTTTTAATTCTGAAATAATAACAAAGGAACTGAGGGTAAACACAGAAAACGTTGTGTTCTGAGCATCAAAGGGGTAACTAACATATTTAACATACTCCCCACCATAGGAGGACTTACTCCTATCATAGACTAAGTATACTTAAATGAGGTAATAAAATCCTGAGAAGATTAATATGACAATTTTCTCCAAAGAGATTGTATTTATACTGACATAATATTGAACTCATTACCTTATCTTATCTTAACCATAAGAAACAAGAAAAAAAAAAAAGAGAAAAAAAGTACACTTTCAAAAAATACAAATCATTACAAATCAAGTTTCACTGGGGTTCTTATTACACGACCCCATCGACTATAGGAGGTGGGTTTCACAATGTTCTCTTCACAAGGCTCAGAGGAACCATTTTCACCGTTTCCAAGAACTGATGGTATAATATTTTCTTCAGAATCTTCATACAGAGGATTATACATTTCAAGATCATGCAACTTCTGCACTGGTCTACTGACTGTTCCTTTGTCAGTTTTAACCCTAACACTCCTAATGATATTATCATTACCAGGGAATACTTCAGTAACTAATCCTATTGGCCATTTAAGCCTAGGAACATGGTCTTCTCTGACTAGGACAACAGCACCTTTCTTTACATTGCAATTTTGCACAAATCCTTTCACAGCAGGCAGCAAATTTCTCAGATAATCATTGCTCCATAATTTTCAAAATCTATCAAGTTGCTGCTGGCGAACACTTTCTCGGATAATTAAATCCTTTCCTGTAACATATGAAGGTTGATCACTAATCTCAAGTTGGAGTCCAGCATTACGTCCAATGAGAAAGTGTGAAGATGTCAAAGGATTTGAAACATCAGGTTCATCTCCAACAAAGGTCAAAGGTCTAGAATTTACACAAGCCACAACTTCTTGAAGAGTGGTCTCAAGCTCAATCCTAGACAGACTTCTAATACCTATTGTTTTCCTCAAAGCAGACTTAACAGACCTAATCAAACGTTCCCACCAACCTCCCCACCATGGAGAACGGGACACAATGAATTTCTACTGAGGAGACAGTGGACCATATTCTTGCTGAAGTTGACGAGCTGCACCCAAAAATGTTCTAGCATTATCTGAATAAAAGACAGAAGGAATGCCTCTTCGTGCTGCAAATCTACGTAAAGCCAGCATGTAATCGGAGAGATAATGAATCAGTAAGTTCTAGGTGCATTGCTCTTATTACGGCACATGTAAACAACAAAATGTACAATTTCTTGGAAGGTAAATCAATACAAAAAAGAGGACCAGCATAATCAAGACCTGTCACAGTAAAGGGAGGAGCAATCTTAACTCTTAATCCTGGTAGGGGTGCAGCAGGTTGATTACAAGCCCTGGAATCAAACCTCTTACACCGAACACACACTCTACAAACAGTTTTAGCAATTCGTCTGACTCCCACTATCCAATAGCTGCCTCTTAAAGTAGATACAATGGTGGATACTCCAGCATGCTTCAAGAAAATATGCTGAAATTGAACCAAGAGCTTAGCAACATGACCTGAGGGAACTATAACAGGGTGTTTGCTTTTAAAACTCAAGTCTGCATTCTCCAAACGTCCTTTAATTCTCAACAGGCATTCATCTTCTACAAAGGGATCTAGTCTACACAAAGGGGAACTCCTTGCAGGAGATTTACCCTTTCTCAAGTCGGCAATTTCATGAGCAAATTTCTCTCTCTGTACACAATAAAACAATGTGGTCTTGGCTTTAACCAACTCATCAGAAGACAATGGACCTGACATTTTTACAGAATGAGGTCGGGTATTGTTTATAAATCTCATAACCCAAGCCACTACATGATGGGCTTTATTGAATTGACTCCATATCTCAATCTCAAATATTTTAGGAGTGGTTACAGATACACAAGAAATGTTCTTTTCACTGTAACTTTCTTCTACAGGTAGCTCCACAACTTCTCCTTTGTCACTTAAAGTTAAAGGTTTAGACAACCAAGAAGGCCCATTCATCCATAAAGTAGAATTCACAAGTGGCTCAGCTAACTCCCCTCTAGAAATGAGATCAGCAGGATTTTCCTTCCCTGAACAATGGTACCAGTGACATGGGGAGGTGAGACTCTGAATTTCAACAACTCTTTTTGACACAAATGCCTTCCACCTACAAGGATTATCCTTTATCCATGCAAGTGCAACCTTTGAGTCAGCCCAACAACAATAAGTTACAGTCTTATCAAGATATAGGGCAGACTTCACAAAATCTAAGAGCCGTGCACAAAGTAAAGCACCAAGCAACTCTAGTCGGGGTAAAGTAACCCTTTTTATAGGAGCTACCCTAGACCTTGCTACTACAAATGACACCTGGTATGTCCCATCCACAAGGGGAACTCTCAAATACACAGAAGCTCCATATCCCTTCTCAGAAGCATCACCAAAGGCAAGAAGTTCTAGACCCGACTACTCTCTCCATGAAATTTCTAGAATATAGCACCGATTTATCTTCCACTATTTAAATGCAGCAATACCTTTAACCCAATTATGGAACTTATTTTGCAGCTCATTAGGTAGTACTTCATCCCAATCAAGCCCAAGTCTCCATATGTCCTGAAAGAGGATTTTAGCAAACATGACAAAGGGACTAATCAAACCAAGAGGGTCAAAAAGTTTGGCTATGAGACTAAGTACTGCTCTTTTTGTTGACACCAACTGTGTCTCAGCCTCCGGGCTAGTACAGTGGTAACGTGTCAGCCTCTCATCCAAGGGGTTGGCGGTTCGCGCCCCGCCCAGGCGCGAGAAGTTGCAATTGTCGCCTGGAGGTTACTGCTGTGGCTGGGCACCACGGTGGGTAAGGACTAAGCTCACCCGAGTCAGCACCTGCTGACACACTGATAGCGAGTCGACATACGTCGGCACAGGCCGGGCTCCCCCATAGCCCGGGCGAGGTCCACAGCTTTGCATATCAGACTTAACTGTGTCTCTGAATCAAAATCAAATTCCTCAAAGACAAACTGGTCTGTTAAGGATAACCACTTCATACCTAAAACCTTGGTGGATACGTGTTCATTACCATGATCAATTTTGTCATTGAACTTTGTAGTCAGTAATTTACAGTTTGAATGCCATTTAGAAAGAGGAAACCCACCTAATGCCAAAATTCTCTGAGCTTCTTTAAACTTAACAGAAGCCTCTTCTGCACTGTCTGCCCCTGACAGCCAATCATCCACATAAAGGTTTTCCCTTAATTCTTCTATGACTTCAGTATTAGGAAAAGACTAAGTGATGTTTAATAGTTGCATTTAGCAAAAAAGGGCTACTTGTGTTGCCAAAGGGAACACGAACAAACCTCATAATTCTAATGGAGTCTTTGCATTTCCATAAAAAGTGATGCACATCTCGGTCCTTTTCCTGAACACAGATCTGTAAGAAAGCCTTGGTAATATCAGCAGTCAGTGCAACCTTCCAACTTCTGAAACGAATCAAAACTTTCACAAGATCAGGCTTAACTTTCTTCACAAGATTACTGGATACATAGGATCTATTGGAGCCAGTATCAAACAACAAGGTGGCTTCACAACAAATACCTGAATCACCATACACTAACTCTAGCTGTTTGTAACACACAGCTAGTTTTTGTCAACACATTACACTTGCTAAGAGCAACTCCAACATGATTCACTCGAGGACTGCAATTTTCTGAAGAAGGTTCGGCATTATCACTAACCTTCTTAACACTCATATCCCCTTCCATAGCTTTATCTGTGTCTATTTCACCCTTTGCTCTACACAGAAGAGAATTATGATTTCCATTACACTTGGAACACTTGATTCGACAGCCACTGGCAATATGCCCTTTACTTAGACACTTAAAACATAAACGGGCTGCTTTAATTTTTTCTTCACGTTCCTTTAATGAGAGCTTCTGAACATCCCAGCACTTCTCAGACTTGTGTTTCTTGCTACAGAATGCGCAATAAGAAGATCCTACTTCAGACGATGTCTAAAGAGCTGATGCAGACTGCACTCTTCTTTTCTGATTCCACAAAACGTCCTTCTGCCTTCCCCAACGCAACTTTGAAGGTTTCTGATCTCTCAATTCTCTCAATTTCTTTCTGAAGAAACTGCAGCAGCCAACTGATGTCACTCTCACGGCCAGAGCCCTCTCTAGCCCACTCCAATCTTAGCTCCTCAGGAAGGCAGGACAGGATGAGAGGGGTCAGGAACACTTCACACTGCTCCTCTGTTACTCCCAAGGCCTGTAGGCTACGGATGTGGGTCAGCAATTCATCAAGTAGACTCCCCAAAGAGGACACATACTTTGGTCCTTTGCCTTTCTTGGAAAACCTACTATTCAAAAGTGCTTGCACATGTTTTAATTTAATACATTCAGGTCTTCCAAATCTTCTTTTCAGCAGATCACAAGCAATTTGGTAATTTGCTTCGGTATGTGCAAATCCTTTTACAACACCTTTAGCACGTCCTTCCAACAATGACTGCAGGTAGCTAAACTTAGTTATCACTGGAATGTCAGCTTCATGCACATGAGTCTTAAAATGGTCCCAAAATGACTGCCACAGAGTTACATCTCCATTGAACTTTGGTAACTCTAATTTGGGTAATTTTACATTTGCTATCTTGGAGCTACTAGATCTTTTACTGGGACTCGAGGATGAAGAGGAATCCCTCTGCTCACCTTTCATCATATCCCCCAACCTCTGTGCAGCTTGCAGCCTGGGCTTACGGACTTCTTGGAAAAACTCGGAGGCGCTATCGAGCTCTTCATCCAAGTTCACCAAATCAGTCTCTAATTCTAATATTGTTTGTACCTTTTCCAAGCTGGCAAGACGTTGATCAAAGTCATCCATGGCAGCTTGCAGATCGATGACACTAACATCTGGATTGTTGAGAAGGCCCTTTAGTACGTTAGACTTGCGAGTTGCCCACCCTCGGGCGACTGCCCTCTTCTTCTGAAGTTTCTCCATGTCTCCCATTGTTGACACAAAAAATACAACCGGGATTCTTTACAGAACCTCTTTCCCGGGTCTGGGCACCAAAATGTAAGGTCTCACTAGACCCACATTTGTCAACAAGGCATGAAGAAGCAGGAGCGAGGGTTGGGGTGCTCAATGAAACAGGTGGTGAGCTGGCAGTGTAGTGGCCTTTATTTTTCAATGGCTACACACAAATATATTTTTTATGGAAAATAAGTACTTCTCTATTCTAGTTTTTAATGATATATAGATTATGCAATATTGTTCTAGAGCACATATAGAAAACTTGATATTTATTTATCAAAAAAATACGGATATTTTTTAATTCTGAGATAATAACAAAGGAACTGAGGGTAAACACAGAAAACGTGGTGTTCTGAGCATCAAAGGGGTAACTAATATATTTAACAATCAGAGAAGTAAACTAGAAGTAAACTGTCAACTAGCGGTTATTATAACCACATTGCAAATAGTATAAAAGTAGACAGATGTAGACAGACGACCATCGAAAAAGAAATAAAAAAAACAAAGACACAGGCTTACACTGGCTCAGACACAAAGTAAGGGATAAACAGAGAGAGTCAATGAGATAGGGAGATAGCGAAATACTAAAATAGGGAGAGGGAGATAGCGAGATAGAAAGAAAGAGAGAGAGAAATAAGGCAGAGAGAGACAGAGATAAAAAAAGGGAGAGAGAGGAAAAGAGAGAGCGAGAGAAAAAAAAAAATCAAAAGAAAGAAAGAAAGAAAGAAAGAAAGAAAAAGGAATTCATATATACAAACCAGTACAAATACCCAGACATAAACACACGCTTTCAATTCGTTTGCCTATTAAATCCCAGCAGGAAAAGGTTTATGTGATTTCACTTAGTTTCCAAGTCCCGCATTGGCCATATTTTGACCGGGAATCTGCAACAAGAGCAAGCTCCATTGCACATGGACCGGGTGTGCCATTGCGCAAAGATGCACACACAAACACCCCTCAGGGAAAACCGGATCAGCCAAACATATCACTTGAGAGTCGTTGTTTGAACAAAATACAAAGCAATATTTATTTTTACAGGATGTTTCGTAGTTCGTATAGTCTGACTGAAATCACGGTAAAGCTCTTGTACCTTACGCGTGTGTTTTTTTTTTTTTTCATAGCATATAGTTGCATGAGTTGGTTATTAGAGACAGATATGCAAGCAAATGAAACTGAAACAATACCAAAAAAGTTTAGAAAGAAAGAAAGAAAGAAAAAAAGGAAAAATGGCAGTGATACCAGGAGCTGAGGTCCGCAAACGATGCCATCAGAGATACAGGCAGCTCGTATATTCTGGGTGATTGTAGTGTTCTGACTTAAAAGCATGTGTGATTTCGAGATGTGTTTTTTTTTTTTTCCTTTCATTTCCTGGTGGTTCAGGATGTGAGTCATTAAGAGCTATCTTGCTGAGTTATCATCACCCTTTTATTATGTAAGGATTCCTGGTTAGAACTCGCGACAGGATGATGTATTTTGTTACTGTTGTGTACGCAGAATAGAAAAAGCTTGCGTATTTAGAAACAATGAATTGTAAATTATTAGAGTAAAAACTAATTAAAGTTAGGTCAAGGATATATATATATATATATATATATATATATATATATATATATATATATATATAGAGAGAGAGAGAGAGAGAGAGAGAGAGAGAGGGAGAGAGAGAGAGAGAGAGAGAGAGAGAATCTCTCTCTCTCTCTCTCTCTCTCTCTCTCTCTCTCTCTCTCTCTATATATATATATATATATATATATATATAGAGAGAGAGAGAGAGAGAGAGAGAGTGAGAGAGAGAGAGAGAGAGAGAGAGAGAGAGAGAGAGAGAGAGAGAGAGAGAGAGAGAGAGAGAGAAAGAGAGAGAGAGAGAGAGAGAAAGAGAGAGAGAGAGAGAGAGAGAGAGAGAGAGAGAGAGAGAGAGAGAGAAAGAGAGAGAGAGAGAGAGAGAGAGAGAGAGAGAGAGAGAGAGAGAGAGAGAGAAGCAGAGGAAGGTAGATACTAAAAAAAAAAAAAAAATCAAATGAATCAGCTAAAGAAACAAAAACCGAACGAACTGTAGAGATAAAAAATTAAAATGGAATGAGAGACTAACTTGTACGACCCAAACGACTAAAACGAATACAAGGAAAGGAATGTCAGCCATAACTCGGGGTTTAAAGTCTTTTTTAGATTGGAATGTCGCTATTTTGAGTGTAATGAAATTGGGTAAAAGCAAAATGTCAGTGTTTGGAATATTACAAAAGCGAAATTCCGACCTTTCGAGTATCATAAAACTGAAATATCGGTGTTTTGAGTATTATAAAAGTTGAATATCAGTGTCTTGAATGTTATAAAAGTGGAATGTCGGTGTTTCGAGTATCAAAAAGTTCTGAGTTCTGAGTATTGTAAAATTGGAATGTTTCGTGTTTTGAGTATTATAGAAACGGAATATTAGTGTCATGAGTATTATAAAAGTGGAATGTCGGTGCTTTGAGTATTATAAAAGTGGAATGTCAGTGTCTTCAGTATTATAAAAGCGAAATTTTGGTGTTTTGAGTATCATAAAAACGAAATTTTGGTGTTTTGAGTATCAGAAAAGCGAAATTTTGGTATTTTCAGTATCAGAAAAGCGAAATTTTGGT